AGTATTACTTATGTAATACATGTATTTCGTTTTATTTCATCAATCCAAAATTCAGTGCAAAATATGTAGTGGAAAACATCTTCACGCACCCCTGTTTAGGGCTTAGAAACTCCAGCCACAGGTGTACTATTATCAGTCTATAGAAGAGCTATTAGCATGCCAGTTTGTTAACCGCGTCGTCCAGGCGAGGAATAAATGGAAATACTTAACGCGTTCGAGTTACGGTTGAGGAAATCATTAATATCCATTTGTGAATTAGTAGTAGTTTAAACGTGAATCTTTAACATTTATTTCACTGAAAATAAAATATTTCTATTCTTGGTTACTCATTTCCAAGACTGAAATAAAATTAAAACAATTCCACCATTTTAAAGCAATCCACGAACCTTCATAGATTTTGAATTTAAATTATTTCATTCCCACACCTTGGCCTAAATAAGACTAGCCCGTTTTTGTTTGTTTGGTGTTTGAACCTCGTACGAAACTATTAATCCGTGTCAAATGCCCTGTGTACACTCTCCTTGACGCCGCCCAAACTGACAAAGCCGCAAAGAATGTTATCGAGGCCGATATTTTCGAAGTTTTAATTTTTTTATGAATGATTTAAAAGTCTTTTTGTCGAATTCGAGCGTCTTAAAATTACTGTCAGCATCAAATCAAGGAAAAACTAATCCGTTGAACGATAATGATTACAACGCTGTTGCTTGTCATTCTACATTTCGTCGCTGTGCTCATCAAGGGTAACGTATTTCTTAGACTATCACTTTTTACGATTAAAACAATTATGTTTAATTTGAATTTTGTTTGAAAATTTGAGGTATATCAAGATTTAACTGTAACATTGTTTTTTTTAGATGCCTTTCAATATTATTTTGTAATTTTACGAATACGGGATGATATATCAATTTTTGATTGCCTAAGAAGGAATACGGATTATCACGGAGAAATAAGCAGATATTTATTTCTCGTTTACATATTGATGGAGCCACTAAGAAATTTAGCTTTTATAATAATTACGGAAAAACGTTGCTTTAGGTAATGTAATATACTTCAAATTAAGATAATATAATTGCATATTTACGAAACTAGATGCCTTAGAAAACGTAAACACATCTTGCCTATCTATGGAACTCACCAGAAACAGTCATTAAATCATCTTCGTCACTTCGTTTTGCCAAAAATGTTTAAATGATAATAATAACAACAATGAAAATAACAATAGCTTTAGTATTTCTAAGTTAATACGATTAACTGTTGAATTGGAAATCTGTCCTTTTGGTTTTCTCGTCCCATCTGATTTGCATTTTTATCGCAATATTGNGTATCTTTTTTTTTTTTGTTTGTTTGTTTGTTTGTTTGATTGTTTCTATTTAAATTTACGTTAGGTGACAGATCCAAAGATAAAAAGAAATGAATAGACGAATAAAAAAATGAGGTCAAATCCTATATAATGTTTCGGGAAAAGGGGATAGCCCCCTTCTACCCCCCCCCCCCCCCCCCTTTGTATCTACCTTTAATACTGTCACTAGCTAAAAGCTTTTCACGTGAAACAGTTTCACTAATGCTAGGCATGGATCGTACATGCAAGCCAACTATAGGCCCTATCACTGCAGTTTCGACTACCTACCCGTGAGTCTACATAACCGACTTTGACAGGCACATTTCCTTATTGTACATACCTGTATGTATACGCACTTACGTACTGAGGCAGTTTTGCTAAACTGATCATGAAAGTGTTGATATTGTTATCTTATCGAACGTGCTTGTTTACAATCTAAAAGCAACACACCGCTAAAGGTCGCTGTCTCCATCGCACGTCCACCACCCACCTTCAATATTTTTCAACGGTTACTCTGGCTTCCGTTACTCCCTGGGGTGCATTTCGTTTCAAACGCACCTTTTCGTCTTAATACTAGTGTCAGTGGCCATGGTGGTAAACAGAGAGTAATCAAGAGATCGTATGACAAACCTCGGCCATATCTAATGACACCCTACTCTTTCCCTTACGAGCCTTCTGCCACAGTGCTGACATACCTGAGAAAAATGGGCACCTTTAGCAAATATGGATAACCCAGATGTGCTATTGAAAAGGGTGGGAGTAGGGTAACCTTTAAAATAACAACCAACAATACACAAGAATAAACATGAAGCCTGTCCCCTTTTTGAACTTACACGATGACATAAAATACATAGGCCTACCTTTAAGTACATATGCGTGTAATAGTGTCTCGGCGTTTGTGCCTTAGCAAAGTCTCAGAGCAGTTGCAGAGATCGATACAGGAAAATCTGTACGAGTTTTCTCCGCCGAGACATTTCCTGGAGTCGCTGTGGAGTTACGTTGCTGTGGAGTCGTTGCAGACAGTATATCTAATACGTTCATAATAGCAACATATATTGTTGAAATAGTTTTTGTCTCTCGAGGGATTGGATACTATTATACAGGGAATGTCGGTATAATAGAAGTGATATATAGACATACGAAATATTGAAAATATGGTATCATAAAATTGTAGAATCGAAGGGACCGTTTGTTACAATAGTGGCAGCAGGTTCTATAAACATTGGGGATTTCTTGGAGCGGGGGGAGGGGGGGGGGACCGGTACTATTAAAGCAAGGACTTCTATTTTTTAAAGAATTTCAAAACATGCAGAACGATTCTGTTGTATTACCGCATCGATCCTGCAACATATTACATTCAACGCGATTACCGGTGAAGTGATAATGACCCACAATGAGGTTGTTTTTTACCGTTTGCCTGTCTGCATGTTTGTCTGTCTATCTGTCAAAAAAAAGTTGCTGGCAGATTTTGATAAAATTTTCGGAAATTAATTAAACTGGCGGGAGTGGACCTACATGTAGTAAGAAACGATTAGACCTTGGTGGTGATCGATATCATATTTCAAGTTTGGCACTTGACGAGGATCTTGTATGGGACATTCACCTCTGGTTCTATATGTATTAAAGCAGGGAACGCTATTATGGGAAATGCGGTGTAGTAAGAGTAGTATTAGCCAAATGCGGCTGTACTAGAGAAAACTATTTGTCTTTCCCCATTCCCATAAAAAGATTTAATAAAAGCTCGTGTTTTCCCCGTACTTGTAATAAGTCGCTTCCACTCTAGAAGTTGATTGATGGTATACTAATACAGCAACCTGAATAGAAGCTCAAGCCTTTTTATTAAAAAATTAGTCTTAACTCTGAGACTAAAATTCCCGGTCGAATTAGATCCAAGATAAATTACTACGTGTACTATAGTACAATTAAAGGAAACTTACCATGGCCCATAGGAGCCTACGCGTGCGTCTTTTAGACGCCCCTTTACATGCGAAAACGACAAGGCCTATGCCGAGTTCGTCTTTTACTACAGAGCTTTGAGAGCTGAAAATGGCATGGCTGTGTCTCTTTCGCCACTTACTGAACTCCACAGATGCGAGATTGACACGACCCATGTCGCATTCGTCTCTCAAATGACACTGTTATAAAACATGAAATAGGCATAACGTGTGATTTTCGCAGCTGAATAAGTAGACCCTTATAAACGAAGTTGACGTAACTTGAGAGTCATGTCGCTTTCAACTCTTACAAACCTCCAACAAAATCTATCTCCACACAGACGCGCGCGACATGTACTATTGGACATGGGTCAGTTGAAACCCTATTAACCTAAAGGGCTCATGTTACTTTCAGCCAACTCTTATATGTCAAATCCAATTAATTTGAAACAGTGTTGTGCTGTCCCAAAACATTTTTTTCATTTGAATCCCATCATAATTTAGTGCTATCTAGATAACANTAGTAAGAGTAGGCCTAGTATTAGCTAAATGCAGCTGTACTAGAGAAAACTCTTTGTCTTTCCCCATTCCCATAAAAAGATTTAATAAAAGCTCATGGTTTTCCCGTACTTGTAATAAGTCGCTTCCACTCTAGAAGTTGATTGATGGTATACTAATACAACAACCTGAATAGAAGCTCAAGCCTATTTATTGAAAATTAGTCTTAACTCTGAGACTAAAATCCCAGTCGACTTAGATCCAAGATAAATTAGTACGTGTACTAGTACAATTAAAAGAAGCAAACAGACCTGTTTGTCTGAAAGTCTCGAACAATTTTTGAGCTAATTATTAAATTAATGTTTTTTGGTGTGTGCGCTCTGCAAGGCCCAATTGCCTGTGCAAGGTTATCGAGAAATATGAAAAAAAAAGTCCACGCAGTTGTGTGTTGGCGCCTCTTTTGTCTTTATATGTCTCTGATGTTCACGCCACTTATGATGGGTGCGTCTTATGTCGTTATACAGTACACCCAAACCCAATATAGAGGTGCGTTTCACATGCTGAAGTGTCAAAAAATAAAATTGAATGAATTCAAAGTTGTATTCAATTTTTAAACATAGGCCTATATGTGTACAGAACAAAAATCCACGACTGTCTCAATTTAAGAGCCCTAAATGCAGCGGATTTGGAGGGGGGAGGAGGGTCAGGGGGGTCCTGAAAAATATGTCACACCAATATTTCCCTCTTGAAATTACAATTTTGACTAGCTATATCATAGTTCTAAACAGTACCAAAGGGCACTGTTTGCTCTCCAGAAAACCAAAAAAATTCGGGCCCCTTGAGCAGGCCCCAAACCCCACACCAAGGGGGCGATGGTTGACTTTGCATCCGAGGTGTGTCGTTCCGGACCCCCCTTCAAAAAACCGGTCTGATTGGTAAATAAGTCAGTCGAAAAAATAAATAAAGAGACAAAGCGTGTTTTTCAGTAGTCATAATTTCATTATTTTAAGCCTGTTCAGTGCGGATATCGATAAATGTGGACTCCTTTTCGTATTAATGAATTCCTTATTTTTATTGTTATAATGGAAGAACTTGACAGTGGGCATAAAGCTGAGTTGAGAATACACGATTCTTGTTGTTTGTTCCGACTCTTATAATTTGTCGGTTCTCGCTTTGGTACGGGGCTGTCTTGACTGGTGGCGCTAATTTCTACCCTAGGCATTCGAGGTTTGAATTATCACACTATGATTCGCAATGGCGCAGGAGGGGTGGTTGTGCACTGACACGGCTAGCAGAGGGATAGAGCTGACGCAGCGCATTGTGGAAGCTTCACAGGAGGGAGATTTTGATACTATAAAATCCTTGCTAGAGGCAGGTGTGTCGGTGAACGCTGCCGAATACAACAAAACTTTGTTTTATGCCTCTCAGAATTACATGACTCCGCTTCAAATTTGTGCAGAACATGGGTTTTTAGAGTGTATTACACTGTTGATAAAGCATGGAGGTAAACACTATATATTTTGCTATACATTTTGCCATATATTATAAGAATGCACTTTCAGTCATGAGACACGTCGCAGACTGCATTGAATCACAAACCTGGAAAAGTGAAAGTTGTTTTAATACTGCATGGCATCTGTTTTTACAGATATACAACAAGTGCTGTATAATGGGTTATGCAGATCTGTATCAGTATCTGTTTTACACTTAAATTTTATACAATTTAACAAGAATATTCTAAACACATAAAAAACATGGTGTCACCATCATTGTGAAATCATTGAAACTGTATACACGGGCCGGTATACACTGTACATGTAGTTTAATTACAGTACATATTTGTTGTTGTTAATAAACTTAATCCTGATCACTGTGACAGTAGTACTGTCATTATTGAATTACAGCTGCTCTGGATGCCAAAGACCGTTTTGAAGTGACTGCAGTCCACCTTGCTGCAGAGAAAGGGTATTTCCAGTGTTTGAAAGCACTGCTAGATGCTGGGGCGGACTGTAACATTGGGACCAAGTATTCTAGACATGGCTACTACAAAGGTTAGTGGCTTTATATTACAAAAATGTGACCATTTGTTTTCTCAATAGTATTAAACTCTAAGATAGTATATCTTTATAAAGTGGAAAGGCTGTGAAATATTGCTAAAGGTAAACGTTTTGTTGACAAGGACACATTGCAAAAACACAATTATAAAGGTGTGATATACTTTCTTTTATAGAACATAAAAGAAATGAAATTGTTTTTAATAGTGAGTCAGTGACAGAAAATAAAAGTAAAATTACACAATATGAAGCTTTAGAAGATGGCATGTAATGTACATGTATGTGTGCCAGCATGTTTTCCAATTAATCTTGGAGAGTAATGGTGACGGAACAAACATTACAAATTTTAAGACTTCAAGATTTGGACAGAAGGCAAGGGGAGGAGATGGGGAGGGATCACATAAAAAAAGGCCTTATTCCCATTAAAACTATCGATGTGTGTATATCAATCCAACTCTGTAGTCTCTCTGAATGCAGTCAGTCTAACATATTTACACATGGCATGGAGTGGAAACATTTCAGTTGATTGCATTCAGCCATAATCCCCACAGAGTTGGATCGATCTACGTAGATTGATAACTTCAATGGGACTGAGCCCTAATTCTTTCATACTTTTTGTTTTCAGCAGTGCCATACCCTGGGGGAACCACGGCACTGCACCTAGCTGCCAAGAACAATCACGTGGAATGTGTGAAGGAGCTCATCCTCAGTGGGGCCGATTTCAATGCGCCAGACCAGCATGGCCGCACCAGCCTGTATATAGCAGCCCACGAAGCCCACGAAGAGTGTGTGCTGGTCCAGCTTAGCTCTGCCCTGGGGAGAGATATCCTCTCTCTGCCGGTCAACATTACAAGTAAGACTGGGTTCCCATAAACTTATTGTACTAGAAGATTCGATCTAACTTAGAGGGGATTCTGGCCAAATTGCATTCAGTTTTAGCCACTTAAATGTCTTTCACACCCACTGAGGATGTAAAGGGGTAATTAACTTTTGTGCATGCTTAAACTGAATGCAATTTAGCGAGAATCCCCTGTGGAAATAGATCCATCCTGCTAGTATGATAGGGTTATGGGAATGAGCCCTTGAAGTATGAGCCCTTGAAGTAAAAATGTCATTGTACTAGTAGATAATGGATGTGTCTACATATTTTCAATTTCAAAGAGAATTCTTTTTACAAGAAAATTATTTTTGGCCTTTTAAGCCTTTAATTTAAGTTTATTTTTTGAATGGTGTATATCATGGGTCATTCCATATCAACTCATCTAGCAAGGGTACCCTCCATCAAGAAACTTGCTGGTTTTTACATACGCAACAGTATTAAAAGGTTCTTGTCATTTTCTGCAACAGAAACAGTGTGTGTCACACAAAAAGTAAAGAGAGCAAGTCCATCTTTATTTATAATTATTTACAGATTTAGAGTAATTTACTAAATAAAACATTAAATTTATAACAATAATTAACTTAATAGAGTAAAATAAAATGATATGCAACTTATGCAACAAGATAAAAAGAACATTTTACCTGCAACAAAAAAATGTCTGACCCACGAAAAGTAAAGAAAGTAAGTGAAGAAAACAAAGGAAATTAGTGAGTTGAGACTATAAACCAATGAAAAGCAAGAACGTATAAAGACAGAAAATATTTGCTTTGTTTTCTTTTTGCAGTGGGCTTATAAGTCACTATTTCATTTATGTTATTCTAATATATTAATGAACACGAAAATGCACAGAAACAATAAATAATTTATAAATAAGCGTATAAATAGCAATGCTGTACGTTCAACTAACAGTAACTATGGAAATATAAAACATTAATTACATACAAGTAAATACTAGAATACGCACCGTAGAAAAAAAGGAATAGGAAAGAAAAGAGGATAGACTGAAAATAAGGAACGGAAATATGAAAACAGGATAGACTAATAAAGTGAAACAGAAATAAATAAGATAAGCATTTGAATTACTACAACATCCTCTCCCCATACATAAAAGCTGGTCCTACAGCTTTCATGAAAGAAGATACTGACTTCAATCTTACACATAAAATAATTATTTCTTCTCCTCTGAAAAAATCCTGTTCCTTAATGATTTTCTAAGCTTGGGTACTGCCTTTAAAGTGGCTTTGGCCTGAGATTTTGTTAATGGGCCCCATACTGAAGAGCTGTCACTGTCTGAATCCGAAACACAAGAAGTACTGGGTATCAGACGGGACAGGGGAAGGATTATGTTGTATTTTTGCCTGTTTTCTTTGAGCTGTTTTGGGTCTATGGATGGTGAAAACTGGTAAAGATGTCAGAGGTATAAGCATATTCTGATGTAGAGTTTTTTATGACCCCTCACCAACCTCTGGTTTTACCACAAAAACTGGTATATCAGAATTCGGTTGGTTTGTCATTAAGAATGCCTCTGGTCTCCACCTATCGGCCAACTTGTTTTTACCCTTTAGACCAACATTTCTTACTAATACATGGTCACCTACTGAAACTCCAGCATACTTCACTTTATGATCGTGGTTTCCTTTTTGTCAGGTTTAAGCTTTTTCAATTTGTTGAGATGCCAAGTCATATGCGTCAGTCAGTTTCTTTCTAAGTTGGGATACATATTCCGGATACGACAAGGATAGGCGGACTCGTGAGGGTTTTGAAATAGGTCAACAGCTAGTCTCGGATGTCTGCCGAACATTAGAAAAAATAGAGAGAAACCAGTTGTTTTGTTTTTTCATGCAGTTGTACGCATGGACCAATCTTCCAGTCGTGTTTTTCATCGGGGGTTAAGTGTACCTATACATACTGAGCATTGACCTGTTAAATCTTTCTACTTGTCCATTCCCCCTAGGGTGACATTACATTATATGTATTTTCAAGGTAACATTTTATTGTACACAATCTACAAATGAATATTTAACCAAATCTATATCTAGTAGATGATACAAAACTCTAACCCATGTCACTTGAGATGAGAAGGACATCTTGCAAATTTTCCTGTAGCCATCCTGCACAATAGTATTTGATTTGCCAGTGACAGGGATGTTAATTTTGCAGAGTATATCAGTTACAGGCACCCAGGCTGCAGATGTCTGACCGAGCTGGCCAAAGAAAGTTCTGAGTGGGTCCTAAAGGATAGAGAAAATCAACTGTTCTACATGGTTAACTTTTCCAACAAAACCCATCCATCATTTTCCATCATGTACACCTCAACATTGTCATGAGTGTGAACTGATAGGTTTTGACTTGCACTATGACAAGTTTAGTCTGAAGTTTCCATTGGACTCCTCATCCTCAGCCGTAGGCTTCTAAGCAATGAAACTAGTTGATTGTGGTTCAAAATAATGGCAACCTGTGGTTCTAGGTAATGTATGCCCAGATTTAAGTAATTGGGACAGTTCACTGCCAACATTATCTATTTCTTCTTTGGAGACAAAATAAAATTGGTTGGTTGTTATATTTTCTTTACAGAAGGTAAACAGATGACAGTATGAGGATCTGATAGGAAGTTGGTATCTATAGTCTAGCATGTTCTGTTAATCTTTTTATTATTCCTCCAATACAATCACAAGGGGATTTGCCATGGCTTGTTGCAGGCATCTATTCCAAAATCAGATTTGTGGTGGCATATGTTTAAAAGTCCTTTAAGTTCCTGTACTGTCTGTCACAATTATCAGAAAAGTACTCTTCTTTGCTGATAAAGGGCATATTAGATAATAATAATCTTTATTGGAGAATCGCAACCCGAAGGTTGAAGTTATACAATTTATGACCAATACAATTTATTAGCTCTAATGATGTTTAAGAGTTCCCTTTGGACTGCATGTATACACAAAGCAGGTATCGTGATCTAAATCATCAGACAGATCCAGAGCAGAAACAATGATTTTTGTTGAGTACTTCCGCTTTGCTTGTAATACACAACAGCAGGGTGGAAAGAACAGTACTTATTGCTTTGACCACTGGAAAGACTGAAACTCATCTTGATTCACATATGGTCTTCTGCAAAGTCTGCAAGAATTAAAGCTTGGTCATCTTCAAGGCCTTTGAATCTTTTCTCTTCATCTTTTTTCCTTCGTTGAAGATACTTAGCTTGACATCTGGCAATATAGGAATAAGCAGTGAAGACATCGAAGGTGTCAACAAGCAAATCAATATCTTTGTCAACTGACAAAGTTTGTGTAATAAATTTTCGATAGTCATGTCATCATCTTTGTCACTGAGTACCGTCAGACGTCTAGCATATCTGAGGGGAAAAATGCCCATTATCACTTCTGCAACATACTAGTCCTTTCCAGTCTCTAACCTTGATTTTTCTTCATTTTCCTAGAAGGATACAGGTTACAACTTGCTCAATGGTCCTTGGTAGAAGTATTTTACCAGCCAGTCTTAATTCTTTTCTGGCATAGCCAGGATTCCGTTGAAACTCTTTAACTCACAAGCTTGCCTTTTCAGGTGCTCAGACACCCCAAAGGAATTGGTAGCATATCCTCTGGTCCAAGATTCTAGTGTCAGGGTGACAATCTGAATTTTTTCCTTTGTTTAAATATACTGCAGCTCTCAGCTTACTTTGATTTCATGTCTTCAATTGGTCTGTCAAGGTGTTGGGCTTTTGTTTTTATATCCAGATTTACTGCGAGAGTGCTGTCAGTTACCCAACAGCAATTGCAAGTAATCCTTGAAACTTACTCACTGCATTGTCAAGTTTTCTTTGAGCATAAAAAAGTTAAATGTTCTTATTGTTCAACGCCCCTTATTCATCATCTTAAATAAATTAATGAAAAAAAATAATTGTGAAGTATGAACCGTTAATTGTTTTTGTCATAAATTCATTTTAATGGCAGTTTCTTTTTATCAGTGTTAATGCAAAATTCTGTTCACATGCAGTCTCTGAAAGGGTTTCTGTCATTGATGTTCTCAGGGGTGAACCCGAGGAACTCCTCCCCTGTCTCCATCACTGTCCAAAAATGGATTGGACAGGTCCTTGGGTTTCCCCCTAAGTGCTGGATTGATGCCAGTGGCGTCGAAACTACGTCGTATCATTTCCTCAGGAATCTGTGACCATGTGTTGTTTATCCATTCGGGCACTTGTTCCTTGGAAGCTGTTTGCACCTTGTCTATGCTCCCCCACAGCCTTGATGATGGCTTCTACAGCGCTCCGCATCCTCTCTGACCACAACCTCCATAAATGCCCCTTGAACGGCTTGTTCAGGGACACGTCCAGAGGCTGGGCCAGAGAGGTACATCCTCCCGGGATGATGGCTGCTGTCGCGTTGGCCCGTCTCAGTTCTTTGTTTACCATGTCGGTTGTGTGTGCCGAGGAGGAGTCCATAATCAGCAAGGCAGAGTGTCTCTCTGTAAACGGTCTAAGAACTTCCTTTATCCACAAAAGCATCACCTCCTTCTTCATCCACCCAGTGGGATTTGCAGTTACGACCCATCCAGGAGAAGCAGTTACGTCCAGGTCTCTCTTCCCTAAAATGAGATTGGAAGAATTTAATGAACATGTGAAATGTCACATTTTTACCTGAAAGGTTTCAGCTAATGTTGCAGGATAAAATGGTTTAATCTCGACGCTAGCTGAGCTTCTCTAGAATGTAAGAATATGTTACAAAGCATTATGTAAAAAATCAATGGCGTTCACCAGGTGGTGGTATTTTTTTGTTGTTTGATAACATGCATTAATTTTTACTACTTTGTTTGATGGTAAGATCAAACATATATTTATATTACCTTTAAAAATTATCATAGATGGCAATTTACGGCCGTACCCTTCTGTGGTTGGCCAAGGAATTAGTTCTGTTCAGTATTTTTAAAATGATCTTTTGATTTTTAATTTCACATTTCAAACGTAACTTTTCTAACATTGTACAAGCTGTTTGTAGGTCATCAATCAAACCTTGCAAATCTTTCACATTTGAAATTCTTTTATCTTGTTTTAGATTCTTAATAAAGGAGTTTTCCACCAGGGGCCAATTCCATAAAAGCATTCTAAGCCCTAGTTGGTTGCTAAACTTCATTCTATCTCTAGTTGCATACTTACTCTATTCCATAAAATCATTCTAAGCTTAGTATAGTTCTAAGTTTCATGCTAAAGTAAGAGTAGGTCTGGGCATCTTCTAAATCACTAGTATCATTCTAACTCATTTCTCCTCATACCTTCGAGGTGTAAGGATGGCCAGAAGAATTTTCGAAATTGTGGAACTCCGCAGAGCAGTGTGGCAGGAACAAGTGTTTCGGGATAGAAGGAATCCATTAGACATTTTTGATGATGTGGAACTTGTCAAAAGATACAGATTTTCCAGAGACAGGCTGATAGCTGACATTGTCAAAAATGACATTACCCAGCATACCAGAAAAAATTATTATTACCTTATTACAGTTAAATGGACACAGAGCATATGCATTACTTATACAAAATAGATTCTAAACTTTATTCTTGCTTGAGAAAATGAAATGAGAAAGAACATTGGATTTTTGTTTTGACAGGAGATTTAATGTTTTAGGCAAGTGTCCTACAATTAACATTTAGAATTATTTTACAGACAGTGGATAAATGGTATTGCTTACAAACTGAAATACAGAGGTGATGAATGGTCAGTGTCATCTTTATGTGTGCTTTATAAGTTTTATGTTCCAAAAGTTCAATTTCCATTTTCAATTTTTTTTTGTTTTAACTTCAGATTCTCTTGCTGAATTAATTTGCATGAGAATCTGAAGTTAGTTTGGAGAATTTTGTCTTCCAAGTCTTCCAAAGATCTCGACATATTAGGAAACCTTGCCTTGTGCTGATTCACTATGCTTTCCCAAGCATTATTTTTCCTAGCATTGGTGTTAGCATCCTTGTGTTGACTATCTAATGTGTCCTTAAACTCTTCATAGCATTCAGCTATTAAGAGATTTTCTTGTCTTGAATAAGTCGGGTTTTCGTTGTCTCTTCCCTGAAGCTGAAGATGCCATTTTCTGTATAGAGCTTTTATAGAACACATGGGAATGCCTTGATCAGTACTTCCCTCAGCCTGCACTCAGTTCAACTTTCACCCTGTCACTGCCTTTTGTTTGGCGAAACTGACCCCGTGGTTTTGTGGTTTTCCTATGAAGACACCATTCTAGCCAAAACTTTAGTTGATTGCTAACAAGTATACAACTAGGGATTTAGAATCATTCTAAGGCCTAGTATCATGCTAAGTTAGAATGCTTTTATGGAATTGGCCCCAGGTGGTTATTTCCAAATCTAGTCTTAAGAATATGTCTAGCCTAAGTGCAGCCTTCAAGACTGCCAACAAGAACACAATTTTAATGGCTGCTTTGGCAGGACTTGATGCAAATTGTAGTAAAAGAGATAGCTTCATTGAAGGATCTCTGATTTTACTATCAATAATTTCATCAAATGCTGTAATAAAGGAGTAATATTCTGACGGGTTCTTGTGGTAAATGTTAATTTCTGCTCTTTGTATTGACAAAATGTTCAACATCTGATTGTCTAAACTGCTTTCCATTTGTTCCTTGCTGCTAACCATGCCTTTCAAGAACGCCTTTCAAAATTTTCTTCCATGCCTTGTACCAGCTTTCACTATCAATTAAATCATGCTTATTTTCTAGTTCTTCTTGGAAAGCACCGAAAACCTCTCTCAATACGTTTAATGTCCTCTCTACACCATGGGCGTTGTCCTCTGTGACAGCTAGCTCTACTTCTCTGATCTTCCTGCTCACCACTCACTTGCGGCCCATCGCACACGATGCGGTTCTTCAATTTAGGTTTTGCCCCCCATGAATCTAAGTTTGTTTTGCTGCCCGGGGAATTTCTGTATTTCACTGTTTCCAGCCCCACATCACAGGTAAACAAATAAGGTCGGGAAGCTTTTCATATTACTCATGCATACCTTTTACAGATTCATTGTAGTAAGCTACAACAATATGTAACAATCAAGTTTCTTAGCAGAGGGTTCCCAAATTGGATGAGTTGATATGAAATAACCCAAGGTCTTATTATTGCTTACAGAGGAAACTCCACTGCATGAGTGTGTTCGTCATGGTCAGCGGAGAGCTGTGCGGGAGTTACTGAAGCATGGGTCAGATGTCAACCACAAGAACAATGCTGGCTTCACACCACTGCACCTGGCAGTGCAGGTGACCAGCTTTAACTTTGAGTTGTTACAAGACATCGTCACCATGGGCTACAATGTTAACCTGGATATCAGAGATGGAAATGGTAAGTGTCATATATGTGATAGATACAATACTAGTCGCCGAGCTGTACGTGAAATATAACGAGTGTATTGGCGAGCCGCAGGCGAGACAATACACGAGTAATTTTCACATGCAGCTTGGCGACAAGTGTTGTATCTGGCTTAAACCACGGCCTCTGATTGGCTACTACACTAGTAGTGCAACTGACCGTGGAACGCACTCGTACATGACGTGCTTGTATGTTGAATACAGCACGGCCGAGTCTTTTGTTCTACGTGCTAGCCGTGGTTTAAGTTCACTAATACCATGGCTGGCGCTTCAAAAATACAATAATTACACTTGTGTTTGGCAAGCATCCTTGCCTTTATTTTCATACACTAAGGTGCATTCGTCCTATTGACAATGTTCAAAGTACCAGCCATGGTATATATTAGTTACAACTAATTGTTGTCCACTGTATGCAACATGCAAAAGTGTAATTATATCCAGGTGCAACCGACTCCTGTTGTAACTAGTACAGATATGTTTATACTATCATAATTAGTGTATACACTTTAGCAAGCCAATGCTTAGCACTTATTTTTACACCAATGTTGTTCAACATCTGATTGTCTAAATGTTGTGTAATTTTAAAGAGTCTCATTTTAGTTTTAAACGCTGATACCTGCAGCAGCTCTTTCAAATAAAGGTAACTACCGATTTTTAAAAAAAATGATGACCTTTCTTTACAGGTGTGACTGCTCTTGAACACGTCTCCCTCAATGACAAATTTGTTCGCCAGCCTGAAGTGGCCGCCTTCTTGGTAGCATACGGTGCTAACTGGAAAAAGCTACGCTCCAAACAACTAACTCTGCTCCAGCAAGAGCTTCTGACTAAATACACAGACCGAGTTCTTCTCCATGCCATGGCGGACAGTGCTGCATCGTTACCAACTGTCGAATCTCTGGATCTGGATACCCTCACAGCTCGCGGTGGCATGATTCGTCCACACATGCCACGGTTAGCGTTTTCCGAGGAGAAACTAGAGTGGTACAAGAATTTGAGCAGAAATCCAAGAACACTGCAACATAACTGTCGTTGTGCAATAAGGTCGGCAATGGGAATGAAGAGACTGAAACATATTGCCATCTTGCCACTACCACAGTCGCTGAGGGATTATTTGTTTTTGAATATCCACCAGCATTTAGCCAGTTTAGAAGGGGCTAATGGGGTCTAAACTTTTATCAGTCTGAGACTCACATTTATTATGTAAATACTTTGATTTCTTATTTTCATCTCCGCCAACAAAGGAGAATTGTGTTTTCTCTGGCATAGGGTTTTTGTTAATGGGCAAAATCACTCCCATTGAAGTTCTTCACAAATTTTGATGAAATTTGGAGGGAAAAGAGGGATTGGCAGCTATTCAGGAGGGAAGAAGGGATTAAGATTTCAAGTGAACTAGGGTCTCCTAGGGTTTTTTTTTTTTCTTGTAGGATGTAAAATGTGTACTCTTGTTACTTTAAATAGTGGCAAACATTTGCAAGTCCATGAGACATAGAGGCAGCTTGTGATTTGGTGCTAAATGCAGAGTGATATCCAGTGTAGTTATTGCAGGTGCTACTATGGTTATATACTTGTGCAGTGTAGGTAGTATGTTACAAACCTAAGATTTATTATTTATCAAATGAGAGTAATGCCTGTGAGTGTATAAAAGCAATGAAGAAAAATACTAAGCAAGATTTTGAAGTTGAGCAGAATTTTCAGGCTGAGGTCTTTGTAAAATATTTAATGTAAATATGGAAAAAAGATGTACAGTAGCAGCAATGTACTTCGTATTATCCATGAATGATCCTAATATACACTTGTAAAAATGAATAAATGTTTATTTTTGTAGTATTGAATGTTTTGCAGAGTGTGATACTTCTGTTCATATTGTGGAATTTGGTCCCATTCCTTATTTTACACTTTTTAAGTCAAGGCAATTTTATTTTTGTGTCACACCAAACTTATTCTTTTATATAATACAAGAAAACGCGTAAAATAAAGCTGTTTGTTAAATCCCCTCATCAAGTGTCAGTCTGTCTTTGTTTCACCTGGTTTTGAAAATCTGTAATTGGATACAATTAGAAATTTTATTTCTTTTCAAATTTTTATTTCCTATTTTTATTTTCCATATGTTGGCCAAGTGTTTGGAGGATTTATTATTATTATTATTTTGAAATTTAGGGCAATACGAAGAAAATTCTGGGAGCACAAGCATATGTTTTATGTTTGTACAGTGTGACGAAGTTAGAAGTTTGTTACGTATGCCCCTATTCCCCAAATCTAGGTATCTGAATGTTATATGTTTAGGGTTAATTTCTATAATATTTTGTGGCATTTAATCCTTAAATTAGACCAATGGCAAACAGGCCATCTCTCTGCGGATTAAAGGTGTCCCCCTCCCCTCCCATTCCTGAAGTTAGTGTTTAGTTTCCACTTTCGTTTTTCAAAAATGAACCTGGCAACTAGAAACTAGTTTCGTTTTTCAAAAACTTTTCTGACGCTGAGAAACCAAAATTGGGAGCCGGACTGGACGGAGGAAGAGCCGTCGGCGATTAGCGTCAACAGCAAACGGGTAACATGCCCCGAATATTCCTAAAAAAACGTTATTTTCTCCTACTTGTGTTCAAAATGTAGCTACACCCGTCTTTACACATTTTTTATTCCATTTCTAATCAAACACTAAAACGATACGCTGAGCACCGAATGCAGCAGAGAAGATCAGTTCTGTTCCCCTCCAGATGGCGCCAAAGTACGGTTTGGTTTGTCAAACCTGGCAAAGACTGCTCATGCAGTTGACCATATAAGGATAGCCAGTGACCTACATAATGTCATTTTACTTTGGGGTGTGTAAGGGTCTGAAGCTTAATTTAATTAATTTATATAGTGTATTTTGAAATATGCGGGACACAAAAGCTTCCCGTGCATTACAATTTAGTGCATTGGAAATCAAATTTTGTCTGCCAAATTATGGTTACTGCTAAATACAAGGGGCGGTCACTCAACTTTTCCTGCTTCCTACCCCGATGGTTCATTTGAAACCTAAACCTTTGGAAGAGATGTCACTTCTTCAGTTCTGAGTGACCAGGGTGTGGATGCGAGGCGGTCAGGATACAAGTATATGGATATTTCAGTTTTAACCGATTCAACGAAACGTTCTAAGACAATGGATTTAGGTATTTGTCGATAACTTATTTTTGATGCATTTAAAAAATGGGTTCGACGCCTACATTTTGAACACTGGATTTTGCCATCCACCAAAATTTTCCTGACGTGATGTTTTGTGTCTTCCGTGCCTCCTTCATTTCATTACGTACCTCAAGATAGTGAAAATTGCTTGTTTTAACATACACAGAATTTTTATCTACACCGGTAGAATTAGTAGTGGCAGTAAAGTTTTCCATGTGAAATGGTCAAGATGGGAAAATTTCTGTGGAATGGCTCTTTTAGATTTTGGGCTAATGAAATTTAGTGAGTGGTTTTTAATCAAATTGTGTGTCATAATTATAGTGCAGTAAAATAATCTCAGTCGAAAACTAAAGAACAGGATAAAAGTTTAGTGATATACTTCAATTTCTAATTTTGTCATGTTTTCACAAATAATACCATAAATTTAATGTTTCGATCTATTGAAGTATGTGACCTAGTTAATAGTTACACTGCTTTCTGCGCGACTGACTATGAAAGCAGCCATTTTCAAGGCATAGTGGGCGAATTGCAAGTAGTGTTTGGACGTAATTTTGATATTTCTCATTTATGGCTAATGCCAATATCGCGTTGTCAAATCAAAACGCTCTGTCCAAAGCAATTTGCCATGATTTTTTACCTCCAAAATTTAAAGCCTTTTGTAAAACAATCAAAACGCAGCATAATTAACACTGTGTAGTCATTAGTAACAAAACTTTTATTTCGCCAAGGAATAAAACCGCCTCTTATGCCTTGAAACATCTTTTACTATAATTATAAGTCTGCGCTTTCCGCCGTGACGTTTGTAAAACTATTTGCGGTATTCTTCAGCAAGGCAGCAAGTTGTCACTTGACGTTTATTTCAATGCAAATGCTTTGTAGAGAAATAAATCATACTGAAGCAGTCTTAACTTATTGATCTTATAAACAATTCATAATTTAGTCTATTTCTAGAATTGTTTAATGCTTAGTTGAAAAAATTCTATCAAAAGACTAAAAAATTCTCATATTTTTTTTTATTTTCTGAATTGCAAGCATTTTACTTGTCACTCGAAACTTAGCATTTACAGTATTTTCACTAGCTTCAAATTCCTGGAATTAAATTCCTAATTTTGAAGGCATGCAATGCTACTTAAAAGTTTAATAAAGCAAAAAAAAAAAAAAAAAAATCTGGAAATTTGGGCGATTTTCCCTTTAGATTTACTTTATCCAGAAACCGTTTCGAAAACTACTATCTGAAAACCTGTATGGGGTTAAAAATTTCTATAATTCTATGGCCACGTGTGAAATTCACAAGTCTTTATCTCCAAAGCGAGGGTGACTCAAAATCTAGCTACTTGAAACTCGTATTTGTATAATCTTTCAAAGTTTGAAAACTTGCTGTCGTGTTGAGCGAAAACTGTCATTTTAACGGACCACAATCTATCATTTTGTTCAAGTAGTGGAGAATATTAAGTTCACACATATAAGACTTTTTTTCTAATTTGTGAAAATTGTATGTAGTCGCAAAGTGATTTGGCTGATCCAACTATATGATATGTTCTCTTATGAGAAAAATATATATGTTAAGAAAGGTAAAACCATTTGTTACAAATTTTTGGACTTTAAAATATAAATGTAAGGAGGTGTAAGTAATACCATGATTTGCCCCTCCATTTTGCGTAGGTTTGATAATTACAGATGTTACAATTGCTCAAATGCTTTTTTTTTCAATAATCAGTGTCTCTAGGGGTTGTTTTTTCACATTCCCCATTGAAGTGTATCTCTTGTAGTGTATGGACGTATTGCTTGCTGTTAAATGTAGGAATTTATTTCACAAATGGCTTGTGACAATTTTTGAAAAATATAGTAAAAATGTGTTTGTCCTTCCAAGCAATAACTGTTGGAATTTTATGTCGTATCAATTGTAGAAAAAAGCCATATTCTGAAAAAAATTACAGCACCTTGTGATCAAAATGAAACGAAAACAATGGCAGATACATGGTATTTTGAAAGGGTGTCACATTTTGAAATTCTTGGTAATTTGGAGTATTTTTATGACTTTTAAAATTGTGATATCAGAGTGAGTCTCTTTTGATTTTTCCCTCGGTGGTGTGGGGTGAGACAGATAATAGAGCTGCCGTTGTTTTTGTTAAAAAGGAAATTTAAAAAATCTGATTGTCAATTTTATCTGAAATAACTTGTTTAATATAATAATAAGCTCAAACATTAGTCAAGTAGTTCATTAGATAGTTTATTTATCAAATCAAACTTGAGTGGGTCTTAATGCAGAGATCAATATTTTTCAGATATCTGAATAGTCAAAACTTATTGTGATTAAAATATTTTTAAAAAATCTTTAACAAGTGGATGTTTGAAAATATAAGAATACATCAATGTCAGTTTATTTTGTTCCAAATAAAATACTTTTACAATTATATGCCAAGTGACTTAGCGTTTTCATTGGCTCGGTGAAACTCTAGGGATGGGGGTTCGATTCAAGTACTTGGAACATAGTAAATACTTTTCCAGAAGGGCTTTTAAGAATTCACTTTAGTTACTATAAAAGAAAAGTCTACCAGGGGTGGGTGGGCGGGAACACTTGGGAGAGTGGATAGCACGCGAGACTCGGTCCCAGCAAGACTTGGGTTCGAAACCTGGCGCTTCTAGGTCCCAGCAAATTACCTTTTGCAAAAAAAATCATAACGAGTAATTTAAACTCCGACAAATGGGTCCTACGACTATTTGAGAAACCAGAAGAGTCCCTGGCTCAGGAGATAAGACGGCAGAATAGTAACCAGGAGAATCGGGGTTCGAGGTGAGCTGGGAATAATGAAATTACTTTTGCAAGTTTTGAACAAAGTAAAGTATTTGCACGTTTATTATTGTCAAAATGAATTATTTACAGCGCTCCATTTTTTACAAAAATGTAAAATGAAAAACATTTGTGCTCCAAATTAATATAAATTAAAATTAAACAAGTAAAAAAAAAAAAAAAGAGTATATATCTGTAAATAAAACAAGTCGAATTTTTTAACATTGTTACTAAAAGACAGAATCCTTTAATTTATGAAAAAAATAAGTTCAAAATCGTAATGTTTGGAACTTTTAACAAATTGAACTTTTTGTCAAAGTTGACAAAGTCGAAATCCATCAAAAATATTTCCGTCCAAATTCAGAGGTTGTAACAATTTCACACCTTGTCCTATGTCGTCTCATTGATGTTTGCACCCCAAATAGAACAGTAGCCAAAATTTCTTCATGTTTGTAAGATGATTTCTGGTTGTTTTGGCAATCGATATTTTTAAAATTTTTGTTTTCTTTGCACAACAAATTCGAAAATAAATATCATATATGGCGTAACTGTGGGTGAAATTTTACATTTGGAAAGCATGGGAATCAGGAGCGACATAAAGACATGGTCGGTTTACAAGATTATCCAAGTCTAAGCCAAATTCAGAATAAATATACACACAAAACTGAAAAGGTTCCGCAAAAAGTATACTTGCGTACTTCAAGTAACTTTTCACATTCACTTAAAATTAACTGTGGTTCTCGGTGTTCAGTGATGACACTAAGCACAAACAACAAAACATAGGCATCCAGGACTGATATCAAAACCAAGCCTGTCTTTGTCAATAAGCCCTTGCTCCCGAAAAAATTTAAATATATAAGAATACAGAACAACTTTAATCTGCACATTATAAGCAGGTTTTTCATTTAAAAAATTCAAACCAAATGAAGTGTTAAGGTTTACATACACTTTGGTAGAATATAGAATTTGCCATATAAAAGAACAAAATACTTTGAAATAACATTTTTAGATGATAATTCCTTAAATTTTTAAAATAAATAACTG